GTAAACGTGTGATATACTCGGTAAACGTGTGATATACTCGGTAAACGTGTGATATACTCGGTAAACGTGTGATATACTCGGTAAACGTGTGATATACTCGGTAAACGTGTGATATACTCGGTAAACGTGTGATATACTCGGTATGTGCGATGTACACGTATGTAGCTATAAATCATTCGAGACAATCATTCCGAACGATCGTTGTGAACTCGTTACGAGTTCACCTTAGTGGCCGACCGCGACTGTAGGAAAGCTCGAAAGCCGGTCCAATGCACTTTGCAAAACGATGGCGAACGCACTCATTGTCAGCGAGCGTACAGGTACAGGTACAGGTACTATAATAAGACGCCCCCTTCGGAACGAAAAAATACTTTCGCTTTCAACGCACCACCATATACCGTTTAAAATCAACTTAAACTAATATTTTACAAATCTGAGCATCATACTGATTTGACAATTCCATTGATTATTTGATGATTTGATAGATATCTTGAAATATTCTTAAAATTTAAAGTTTAGAGAATACGTTTTTAATTATTATAAAGTGGCATGTGAGTTCAGCCATTTCAATATGTATGCATTTAGAAGATCAAATGTCATACTTCTCTATTCATTAACAAAATTAAAAAATATTGTCCGAACAAGAAATTTTAAAGAATATCAATTAAGAATAAAGAATATCAGTTTGAAGTAATCAGCTGATCGTGATGACTAGCATTTATTTAAAACGTGTATATAAACTCGCAAAAATTTTCTCGGATATTATTAGTTGCAAATGATCAGAAAGTATCATTCTTTGTTGACATGTGATATAGTCTTTACGCATCTTTAAGGAAAGCAGTTATCACGCTAGAATTTCCTTAGATCCGTAACCGGATATCAAGGATCGTTCTGTAAATCAAGGTCCATACCGTTAGATAATATATAAATCGTTGATATTACGCCGCAAGCAACGCATACACTCGCCATAAAGGATCGCTTCGCAAGATTCGACGTATGTGTAACATCACTGTTGTACACATTCCGCACGCATATACACGTGAACGCTTAATGTACATGCTACTGTAACAATTGAGCCAACTGCGGTCGCTCTTGTTCATTACAAACTGATATTAAAAGTGATTTTTTTTTCTTAGTCTTATCGATAGTTCAAAGAATGAGAAAAAAAATTCTGGAATATTTTATGTATTTAATAGATAGTGTAAGTTCCTATTTAAATATCTAGATTTTTGATAAATTTAATTACGCTAATTAATATCTGTTCTAATCAGATTACTCTTGTGGAAGTTCATCGCGAAATCACAAAAGCGAACGAAATCGTGTATTAGAAAACATTTTGCTGGCATTTTATTTCTTCTGATAACTCTAAATTATGAAAATAGCCCAGTTTGTGACTTTACATGCGGCAAAATCGCGGTTAAAACATGTTCCAGTACGTATCGTTTATGACAACATTAATATTGTTAATCGTTACTTTAATTACAACTGCTCGGTATTCATTACGCTTGTACTTTTCCCCAGCATTAACACGAGCGTGCATCTTTTTGACACGTACGTAAAGTAGGGCTCGATGCTGACTTCGACTTTCGCCTTGAAGATTAATTGCGAATTAATACGATGACGAAAAAGCGGTACAAAAATTATTTAAGATGCTATCTCGTTCCCGTGCAATTATATGCGAACGGGATCGCCAATCGCGGGTGTCGTCGTGTATATCGCCCCAACGGCAAAGTCATAACTCTCGAATGTCGCTGAAATAATTACGGCGGATGGCGTATTTAATAAGTCATCGACGGAAAGTCGCTCGAAAGTATTATCGGATTAATTTAATTCAAAGTTTTCATGAGTTGTTCTCATTAACGTATTAATAATTTTACATCTTTAATTTGAGATTTTCGACAATCTTTATGTCACAAATAAATTTTTATAAAAATTATACGATAAAAAATATATATTAGCCTATACATTAATCCTATATAATACTTTCATATTGCAGATAATTTTGCAACTCTGTATAACACTATTTATAATAACATCAGATACGAAAATAACTGACAACGTTGAGAAAAAAGAATCTGTCCTAGATTTTGCTGGATTAGTAATACAATCGTTTGAAATGCTGCGCGAGATATACGTAAATGAAACAAACTAATACATGGGAAACGCATAGAAGTGCGAATAATCAGACTAATAGATCGAAAAAAACAATGAATGTTTCCGAAGGCGGTAACAAGATGTTTGTCATGCTTCAGTGAGCCACACGCACTGCGCGCGCGCTTTGCAATTCTTCAATAATCCTGCGAAAAGATTTATCCCGAAATATTATATAATAATCTAAAATGTTCAATTCTACAGCGTTTTCAAATGATAAAAATAATAGATAATAATAAATCTTTTTTACATATGTGTTTGAACGATTTTTTAAACTTCTAAAATCGAATGATGTTGCCCTTTCGAATTGATTTTATTCTTTTAAGAGAATAAATCAATCAAACTTTAATCAATTTTCTACGATCACCTGCAGTTTCAATATCCCATTCGCATCTGCGGATTACTACTTTTCGAGACAATTTCTTGCTGGAATATCAAATGATCGTTTTGATCTCTCGGGAGCGCTTTCCGCTTCCCAACAATCTAGAAAGCTTTCAGTTGATTAAATTTTAGTCTCGCAACTCCCAAAATGTTCTTCATTTTGCTGGTAACACCGACGTTGCATCGGTTGTTGACCCGCCCACGATTTTATTGCTTTGTTTCGCAGCAACATCTCATACTTCCCGACCTTTCGGTCGATGAAGCTGCGCAGCATGTTCCGAAACGTTCCCGCAAGAAAGAAGATAAAAAGAAGATAAAGTTCGAAGCTCTTATTATTCACTGTCGTTGCACGAATAAAACGCGGGTTTTATTACGCGTTTTCAAAAGAAAAATTGTTTAATCTCTTTGCTTCGCCGTTTAAATCGCTTTTTTTACAGTCGGAAAGATCGTTTGCAGAATGCTCTCGGAATGAGTTTAACTTCCTCGGTAATTGCAGTCATTGGTCGGTGCAATTTCGTTATATTTCGGGACGCGCGCGCGAAAAGATTCTTTTACCGAAGGTGGTTCCCGGCTCTCATTTCTTCGTCGATGGCCTGCTCGATTTTACGACTCGTAATACATGGCCGAGACACGCTTTGCGAGCAGATGCTTCGAGATGAAAAAAAAAAAAAAAAGAATGACGGAGTGATTGACTTTTAGTGGACACTTCATACGTTGAACCGACGCGTGCATCTTAAGCAACGAACCGAAGCGAGAAGGGAGAGGCAGGCGGAAAAAAACGATTTTGGTACCATTACGTCATCCCTTTTGAAAGATTGACGTGCTCGTCCCGCCGTGTCGGATGGAGCAAAGAGCATGCTGCTCTAGATTAGCATAACAAACCTGTACTGAAACACTTTAACCGCACAAAATGCTCGAATGCCGAATAGCAGGATAGGGTTAAAAGTATAACGGTGGGGCTTATCACTCAACGTATAACGTAATCGAATGAGGAAATATATTCCAATTAGCATCTAATTGTTAGTTTCAACCTATCGATAAGATTATGAAATATCTGCCGGTTAATCGATCGTTGCAAACATCAACCACATTTAAATAAAACATATTGCAAACAAAGTAGAATTTTATAGAAATAAAAAAGTATAAAAAATGTTTATGTTAAACCTTAGTAATAAATTTACCTTAAAATGCTTACATTATAAACGTTAACAGATATCCTATAAATGACAAAAGACTGATACAGATGATTTATTACATGCAATTGTTTCTTTGGCAAACTTATTATGTATTTATCAAATCTGATCTAACTGCAAAATAATGTATTTATGACAGAAACAATGTTATTCCATTTGGCGAAACACGTTTTCGCGCCCGACAGCGATAATGAAAGCGGAACTAAACCGTCTAAAATCGACGATCGGCGAGGCGTGAGATCGAACATCGAGTCTCCACGATCGAAAAGCGATTAAGGAATCAGTCAATACGATATTTCCTCGTCACAACGGCGAGAAGGGACGTTTTCTCACGATTGCGAATTATTACTCGTATGCATATGTTCTATGAATTCTAATAAATTATGAAGTTTAATAAAAATTAATTTATAAAATAAAAAATAAAAACAAAATATTTCACAACTAAAACAAAACTTCTAAGATTTATATCTCATGTACAAAAATTTCTATTATGTTAAAGTAATTTTATGTTAAACGGAAAATCCTATTTTAGTGACAGTCTGATTCATTGGAAATTTTTATCGAGTATTTGTGATATGAAGCAAAATAATTTGACACTCGATAACGCACGTGTGTTCGATCTTATCGATCGATTTTAGAAGAGATAAATACAAATTGATTTGATTAACATTTATAATAATTTTTATGTAATAAGAAAATTTCAATATTATGAAGAAATCACGAAAAAATATATACACACACATATATACACGCATAAATTTCAATTTTTTGAATTTTCAAAAAATATTTAGTATTCTAAAAATATTAAAATTTAAAAAATTTTTCTATTTTTATCTCTAAACTGATAATAATTACTTATTTTATGTATATGTTAGATATTAAGTCCACATCTGTACGGTATTGTTATCTTCTATATTTCTATATTTCTTCTACATTTACTTTTAGGAATCTAAGTACTCTTTTACCATCTAAGTTCTCTCTAACATAAGTGATTTTTAATACAATAGAATTAAAAAAAGCGGAAAGATAAAACTCATAAAGCTAAAATTATATTAGAAATTCTAAACATTTTATTATGATTTATATTATGTTATAATAAACTATATGACAACGTACCAATTAATCGCGATTTTTAAAAACATCGTAACTTACCGAATGCTCCTAATATCATTTGCATAGCAATTATTGCAAATAATGCACTTATCAATAATCGTCAAATATCTGATACTCCTTCAAAAAAAAAATCTCTATCTCTATCTAAAATCATTGAATTTTTTTAAATTATTTTAAGTGTTTTGACTTTAAACCAGGCACTCGTAGATAATACATAATCTTATCATCGTAGATTGAATAAACAAGATCTAATTTTGTGTATATAAAGTCGGCGACAAAAACCGTAAAGCATCAGTTTCGGTATCACAAGTAGAAGTACCACAACAATATTTCGGAGGTGAGTGTCGACAGGCTGTCTGAGTTAAACATTTTAAGCTTTAATTATAAACTAGACGAGTAAATAAGGATTATGAGCAATATTATAAATAATTTATATTTTGCCTATTTTAGCTTTACTACATTAAGTAGTATAATTAAAAAGCACATATATAAAGTATATTATTTCGTTTTGAAAATATTTTCTACCCCAGAGACAAAATGGCCCTTTATGTCATAATCCAAAAATAATAATTAAAATCAATCTTTTTATCATTTTTTTATTAATAATTATTATTTTCTAATTATTAATTTTACTTTATTAATTATCATCAGATTTCGTTAAATATTTCACTTTCGTTAAATATTTCACTTTTATCAATTCGACTAATTAAACTAACGATTAATTAAATTAACTCATTTGTATTTCAAAAAAGATCAATATGTTGTGTTATATTTCGATTAGCAGTATATAATAAAAATGGAAATTGTAATATTCGCAATTTCCATTTCCAATTTTTATTAATATTTAACCAATATTAGTTGATGCACAACGCAAAAATATTAAAAATTTGCTTTCAATCTAATATAATTTTTGCGCAAATCTAATTGATAAAATCAATTTTATTTATAAAATATATACGCAAGCATGTTTTAAATGCATCAATAATCCTAGCGAAATTTACTTTTGCAGATGAAATTCGCATTGGCACTGTTGGCCCTCGTGGCTACGGTTTCCGCCCTGCCGCCGATCCGTCCACCGATCGAGATTCCCAATTTCGGCAGAGGTGAGCTCTACAAGGACATCCAAGACTTTATAGATGCTTTACCTCAGAATGACATATTCGATATCACTCTTGAATATGCTGATAAAGATCCCGAGTTTCAAGCTATGATCAAATACTTCAAATCTGAAGGGTTTAAAGGGCTGGTAAAAGATGTCGAGGCTTTGCATGAGATTAAGGTTTTGATGGATTACATCCATCACGCCGGCATTGACATTTACAAGATCGTGAACTTGCTGAATGACGCGCTTGGACTCGATCATCTCACTCCGCCTGACTTTGCTATGATTACTAAACAGATCACAGGTGGAATTCGTGGATACGTTGATGACATTATGGCTATCTTACCCATGGACCGGCTTAATTCCATGTATGAAGAGAAGCTGAAAAACTCCCCAGAATTCGCTAAGTTCGTCGAGCAATTGCAGTCCGACAATTTCCAAGAAATCGTCAATCAGGTTTATGCTAACCCCAAATTCCAAGAGCTCTTGAACCATGCCGATAAAGCCGGCATTGATCTTCAAGCCATCAAGGAGTTGCTGAAGCTTCTCTGGGGTATTCACATCCCCCCCCGCCCTCTTACTTTTTACATCAAAAACTAGACGTCAATGCAGTGTGTGAAAAATGAATTTCTATTACCATATACATCAATAATATTTTTAAAAAGATATTGTCATTTCGCAGATTTATGAATTTTTTGGCCATGTGATTTCATGTACTTTACTTGTGTAAAATAATATAAAAGCAGCTTTTTACATTGTTACATTTTTTTCTTTTAATGGAAATATTTCCCTTCAAAACTTTTCTTAGTTTACTCTGTCGAAAATTGCTTCGGACATGATCCAAATTACTCGACCATTCATATCGCGCGATGCATTTCTTTTTGCATTGCTTCGGATCGTTCCCACCCGGTCAGGCCAGGTCGAGATAAGCGAGATTATGCTGGCTCGACCGGCCGACCTGCCAAACTCGTTTTCGCGCGCTCACGACGGCTTAACTCCGTGAATGGAAGTGAGATTGGGACGAGTCTTCTCCCTACTCTTGCGTAATTATCCCGTCTTTTGCGCCTACCGAACATAACATCGGCAAAAGGAAGAAATTTATTTTATTCTAAAATAAGGACCACCTAAGAACAATAAGTAGAATGGGACTTACAGAGATAATAAATTGCCAAATAAATTGTATATACATAATAATAAGCGAAATATATAAAGTTTAAAAATATAATCGCGCTATTAATTTTTCTAATATAATAATAATAATAATTAGTGTCATTAATAACGATGTTAGAAATAAATTTTAGTAAATAGGCAAAATTAGTAAAAAAGTATTTATATAAAAAAGATTATATGATCATGGGTCTCCGTGAAAAAAAAAGTTCTCACTATTCACACACATGGCTTTTCTCTTCTAGAATATTTTAATAAATGATCGATCTCGAGAAGTGGCATTTTATATTGCACGCGCGCACGTATATAGACAACAAATCCAAGTTTAAAGTGTCTCATAAAGATACCACGGAATTGCATATTTTCAAAAAGGGGAACAAGAAGGGGTGCTACCAACGAGCGTGGCTTTTAATTAATGGCGCTTTAGAGAATACGTGTCGCGGGACCGATTTACGAGCCGGCGTGCGCTGGCACGTCGTGTGACTAGGATTTATGGTGCCGCACCGGTGTTTCCCGCTAATATTTAACCGTGTTGAAAGAGGTTAGCGAGATGCCGCGGGAGGTACATACTCTACGCGAATCGTGCGTGTTCTCAAACAGCAAGAACGACGATCGACTTTCTCGCGCGACCCATCGGGCACGCGCTCTGCGATGGAAACGAGCGATGCTCGTTGAAGGCGGCGGCTGCATAGGATATATCCGCTGATCGAATATTTCCTAAATTGTTTAAATAATATCGCGTGGAAAATTCGATGAATCAACAGCGTTATTGCAAATTGACGAGCTCCATCAATGCCAATTGAATATGATTCCGCTTAATTTTTTTTTTTCATTTGTATTGTATAATTTATACTCGTTATTTATTTAATCTAGTTTATTAAAAGGTCTTGGAGTTTTAATAATTCAACATTAATATTGTCTATATCTCTTCTGATCTGATCATTCCTTTTATAGTCCTTATCCTTTTATAGTCAATACTCATTAGGTAAAAACAATGTTGAATGAAAAGAATTAACCATACAATCGTGCCAGAGAGATTTGCTAATCATTTTTAATTTTTTGCTCTAAAAGCGTCAATACTTTCAGGTATATATGGCCGAATATGAATTTCTAGAAATTGGTGATATATCGTATTTAAAAGATAGTCCGAAAGAGGAAAAATTATTTCAGATTAAAAATATTTTTAAATTTTTTCATAACTATAATTCTTTCATTTTTGGTCAAAATATTTCTGTACGTCTAGGTGATAATTTTTTTGCCCAAGTGTATATATATAAACAACACTTTTTATAAATGGCGTATCTCATAGAATAATTCGATTTTTACAATAACCAAATGTAATAAACCTATCTTTCCTAACGTAGATATTTTGTTAATTACTATTTAAGCTACGATATTTTATTTAACAAAACCTTAACGAGGGGAATTGAAAAAATCGTACGTGTCATACTTTCTGAGCATACTTTTATTTCAACAAAACAAAACAAAAAAAAGCAATGTTTTAGATAGATAACACTATTAAATACTGTTACGCAATTATTATTGCATGCATGTTAGACAGTCGTATTAACTCTAGGACTTACCTATGAATATGATAAACACTTTATAACCCAGTAATAGCTCCCCGTACTCAACGTAATATTTATAAGCTGTGAAACTTATAAGCTTCCTATTTTGCTCTTATAGCACTTATAAGCTTCGGAAGTAAACTTTATGCAAACCAAGTTCTATTCACAATGTACAATTGACACTTGTCACAATACTACCCACGAGAGAAGTCCAATCGCGTACAGTATATATCACGAGTATAAATAATCTGGTCTTAGACCCGTCAGACGATTTATAATGTTATAAACAAGTAACGATATATCGCAAAGAGATTCCAATGTTTATTTACAAAGTCGATTGAAAAATTCGATAAAAGACGATAAAAAGACTGGATCAATGTGTCTTCACGATCTCGTTATCGCGTACGGTTGCGTTTCCGATTCGACTCTGCTTAATATAATGTCTGGCCTAAGATAGGCCTCTTCGTCAATCGAACGATGAACCACAGATAACACTCGATTACTGACCTACGACAAAACTGTTTCGCTTTCGCTCGAAGCGAATCGCCCTTCATTCATTCTATCCCGCCGCTGTAAATGAATTATCAGATAACGTGCTCCAAAGATTCCGACGTTCTCTCTGTATCCTCGATACGCATATCATACGATGAATCGAAATTTTCCGTCCGATGTACGAACGAGGAAAAAACTTGAATGAGAAAGAAAAAAGAATTGTTCAATTCTTTCTCTCGTGCACTACATCAATCCCTCCTCACGCACGATCGCGTGCCATCGCGCGACGTTCCCCTTTTTCCCTCTCGGGAACCTCCCCTTGCTCGTCAACGCATGTTTGCGATCATCGACGAGAGAAGCATTTTCCCTGACAATCACACGCGTACACCATCCTTCATATTGTCTATTATCGCACCCGTAGCACTTAAAGATCGATTGCGAAGATCGATTCTCCCCGGATATCGTCGCGCGAGAATATTTTTCGCGATCGAAAAGCAGAGGAGGATGAAAGTCTCTCGGCACGCGAAGACAAACCGACGACACGTGCGGCTCGAAGAACGGCGCGTACACTGCGAGACAGCAGCCGGATCGTATCGTACCGCGGCTACGACGGCAATGCCCCCGCGTCGGAGGCTTAAGCGCCGCCGACGCGGTCGGGAACCCCGACTGCGGCCCCCCCACCATGGGAACCTACCAGCCGACCGTTCCCCACTGCCATCTCTTTCGGTGACATACACAACACCGGTTTGCCCGGCCTGGTACGTCGACGTGCACCCAGCCGACGATGCGTCCGGGGTGCGCGAACAGCTTTCCCTGCTTCGGGTAAATCGTGGCGACGATGACTTTTCGTCTCGTCGCGAGATCAATGGAGAAAGCACACTACGAACGAGTCAAAATTTTACAATGGGGATTATTCTCTTTCTTTCTTAACCCTATCAAATTTTAGTAAAGAAAAAAATTATTTTTTAATAATTTCTGAAACTCGAATCGTCGAAAAAAGATGACTTTATGAAAGAAATACACAATTGTTGAAAGAGAATCTTTTAACATAAATCTCATATAATTATCACAATTGTTACATTACAAATTCTTATTGCTTTTATCGTTAATATAATGAGATAATGTATCTAAAATCGTTGCAAAAGAAACAAGATTCAGTTTTAATTAAATACATTATCGTACATTGGCCATTATCAATGTGAACTAGAAGAATGGCTTTTCGATTTCTGTGAGAATACCGGCGAAATATCAAAGAGGAAGTAGATAAAAGCGCGATATCCGACACCGGAATAATTATCGAACAGCAGCATACCGTATTTCTCTTTGGTGTTTGCTGATATCCTCTTCCGTATTAGCCAAAGAGATATCTCTGCCGTGTATGAGGAAACTTGAAACTTTCTGCTCGAATAATGATACCATATACATGTGTGTCGAATATTAATTGAATAACAATCAGCGTCGATATCGGTCTAAACATAAACTCGTGAATTTTTCTGAACGATATTAATACTCGTGTATTAGAATGCAAAGGATTAGAGATGGATTTTTGACTATATTATATATATATTTTTCTAATGCAGAAAATTAAAATTAATATACAATTAATTCTTATCATTATTTTAAAATTTTTTATTTTATTCTATAAACTAGAAAGAAGAGAGAAACTTTAATTGGGCTTCTTATAATAAAAAATGGAGCTATTTTAGAAATAAATCAGAGAAATGTGACAGAGAAATGAAAAAGATTAATATCAAACTTTTATAATTATAAAACATGAACAGGCAGTATATAAATATAGCAAAGTAATATCATAATATATATATGTGTGTAATAATAATAATGATATTATAATCTGATTGTAAACAAAATTTTATAAATTGATTAAAGTTTGAATCAAACGTGTCTTTGTTTGTATTGTTTTGATTAGCAATAAGTTACGCTTCTTAAGAGCATAATCAATAATCCACCCATTCATTCTCTTCCTAATAATATAAAATTTAATTAATTTTTAAACGAATAAAGTGCAAGAGATAAATGCTGACTGAATGCATTTACCAGTTTACACAATATAAGATTGCACAAGAATTTCTAAGATTTATTGTGTAGCACATTTTACAGATAGGACGGGCGTTTAATGGCATAAGAGAATTAATAGTGTATCTTTCATGTTCCATCTTTAGAAATGCATTTTTGACCAAAAGTACCAGAAAGGGCGGTCGGTGCCGCATTATCGGTAATGGAGAAAGTGGCGAGGCGACTGTGAAAAATGAGCTCAGAGTACGCTTGCGTCTGGAAGGGTAGTAACCTCCGTTCACCCCGTCGCCAGGACAGCAGACGGTCACCTAGCCTAACCTCGTTCTTCCGCTACATAACGGATGCCGGAGGCTTTAGGAGTATCCCGAGATCCGGCGGAGCCCGGGTAGCCGGAACAATTTTCCATTATTCCGGTCTAATGTAGATTACCTCCGCCCCTTTTCGTGATAGAGAGAAGAGAGAACAATGAAACCTGCGTCCCGGCCTATCGTACAAGCTTTAAATGCTCCATGTAATATGAAAGGCTTCAGGATATTTGCGAGACGATAAATAAAATATAAATCTTATCTTATTTTTTAAATAAAAATAAGTGAAATAATTTTCTTCGCGTAGAATTTAAAACGGCAGAAATAAGACATCGGAAAAATCGCTATGGAAAGTTCTACTAAAAAAAAAAAAAAGAATATACAATCTTCATACTCTCAATAAATTTAATATGTACAATGTGAGAAAACCTCCTACATCCTACATTCTCTATCGTAGAGGAAGCAGCGGTCATAAGATAAATGTGCCCTAGATGCTGTAAATAAGCCGAAATATACTTTCAGTAAAATACATTTTAGTCGACACGAGAATACACATGAGATACTGCTAGGCAAAATTAACGATTAGATAATATAAGTGAGTAAGAGGCTAAGAATAA